AAGGGCAGAGAGCTCCAGTCCGACTCAGACACCAGCAAGGTGGAGGTGGAGTACTGATTTGGGCTGGTATCATCAAAGATGAGCTTGTGGGGCCTTTTCGGGTTGAGGATGGAGTCAAGCTCAACTCCCAGTCCTACTGCCAGTTCCTGGAAGACACCTTCTTCAAGCAGTGGTACAGGAAGAAGTCTGCATCCTTCAAGAAAAACATGATTTTCATGCAGGACAATGCTCCATCACACGCGTCCAAGTACTCCACAGCGTGGCTGGCAAGAAAGGGTATAAAAGAAGAAAATCTAATGACATGGCCTCCTTGTTCACCTGATCTGAACCCCATTGAGAACCTGTGGTCCATCATCAAATGTGAGATTTACAAGGAGGGAAAACAGTACACCTCTCTGAACAGTGTCTGGGAGGCTGTGGTTGCTGCTGCACGCAATGTTGATGGTGAACAGATCAAAACACTGACAGAATCCATGGATGGCAGGCTTTTGAGTGTCCTTGCAAAGAAAGGTGGCTATATTGGTCACTGATTTGTTTTTGTTTTGTTTTTGAATGTCAGAAATGTATATTTGTGAATGTTGAGATGTTATATTGGTTTCACTGGTAATAATAAATAATTGAAATGGGTATATATTTGTTTTTGTTAAGTTGCCTAATAATTATGCACAGTAATAGTCACCTGCACACACAGATATCCCCCTAACATAGCTATAACTAAAAACAAACTAAAAACTACTTCCAAAAATATTCAGCTTTGATATTAATGAGTTTTTTGGGTTCATTGAGAACATGGTTGTTGTTCAATAATAAAATTAATCCTCAAAAATACAACTTGCCTAATAATTCTGCACTCCCTGTAGATCTTCGAAACTTTGGGATGGGGAGGTTGAGGCTATGAAAATCCCACCAATAGAGAAATGGGAAAAGGATCTTAATGTAAATTATACCCCTTACAAATGGTACCAAACTACTATTCAACTCAAAAAAAATATACATCGTATATCCTTGTTAGACTCCACTTTACATAGGTGGTACCGGGTACCTTCCTAATTGCATAAAATAAATGAAGCATATTCGCCAATGCTGGCGGTGTCATAAAGAGATTGGCGCAATACTTCATATATGGTATATCTGTTCTCTATTAAATAATACCAAATCACGTATAGTATCTTTAAAAGCTGATTTAATTCATGAAACCATAATACTTACTCTGCCTCTTTTTTTAATTTAATTTAGATGTTCCAAAAATGGAGATAAAACATAGATATCTAACTAAGGTTAAAGGATCTTAACATGTACAGCTTGGAGGAAAGACAAGACGGGGGGATATGATAGAAACATTTAAATACATAAAGGGAATCAACACAGTAAAGGAGGAGACTATATTTAAAATAAGAAAAACTACCATAACAAGAGGATATAGTCTTAAATTAGAGGGGCAAAGGTTTAAAAATAATATCAGGAAGTATTACTTTACTGAGAGGGTAGTGGATGCATGGAATAGCCTTCCAGCTGAAGTGGTAGAGGTTAACACAGTAAAGGAGTTTAAGCATGCGTGGGATAGGCATAAGGCTATCCTAACTATAAGATAAGGCCAGGGACTAATGAAAGTATTTAGAAAATTGGGCAGACTAGATGGGCCGAATGGTTCTTATCTGCCGTCACATTCTATGTTTCTATATTCATATACTTTATGCCTTTAAGATATCTATAGCTCGTAATTGGAAATCTACCCTTCCTCCTTCATGGCAAGACATTTTAAATCAAATAGACTATCAATATACAATGGAATGTAATTTAATTACCACTTCTGGACCATTTATTTCCTACCGTGACTTCTGGTATCCTTGGGCGTTATATAGAAAAAGATAAAAAAAAATATAACATAAGGATAACCTATAATTGGTTTAGGGCAATTAGTTGTCCATAAATCATCTATGTCAGACAGGAATCGCTTTGATGCATAATTCCTCATAGGGGGTAGGAGTTGTAGTGGGTGCCTGGGGGTAATAGGAGTTGTATAATGAGCAGAGGTATAGAGTGTATGGCCTATATGGGGATTTTGTTGTTTAAGGGTTGGAGAGATAGGAGCTGTGAATGGGCAGTGGGGGGGAGATTAGACACTAAATATTTTAAATTGGAAAAAAACATTTAAATAAAAATTTTATCTGATTTATAGTATTTGCATTATAACTGCCGTTTACTTTGTCTCGGTGTTTCCTCTTGGTCAAAAGAAGCAAATGTGTTAGAAGTAACATACAATCATTATTTGAAACCATGTATCTGTATTGCAGACATAATTAGTACAAGTTCCATTTAAGTCACTTCAATCTCCCTGTAATAGTTATTTTGTTATAATAGAAGAATTGCATGAATTACTGCAGGGGGTTATGGGAACATACAGCATACCATAAAAGAAGGCAGATTTTTTTTGTATTACAGACGAGGAACTGATTCCAGAGGAAGACGATATGCCATCGTTCAGATGCAGACAAAATGGTAAGAGAAGTACAACGTGTCACCAAACCCCAGAAGGGCGGAATGGTGAATAATTTGGATGTGTAATTTTCACAGTGTGTCAATAAGCATTATAGGTACATGAATTGGCACAGTAGTTATCCAGAATACATTGGTGAAAGTTCAGAGCAGACAATTGGAAGGTGAGACTGGAGTAGATGGTTAGAGAAGGAGGAATTGGAGGTAGCTTTTCTGATAGCTACCTATTGAAGGTTTCACGGATTCGTTAATGGATTGGCCAAAGTCTATAATGAGGGAAGACTTTCCATTAAAAGAGAAAGAAGAGTTGGGAGTGAGATTGTGAACAGACAGTCGGAGTTCATCAGCAGAATTTAAGCTCCAATATACACTAATTAGCTACACCATTAAAACCAGACAGGTGAAGTGAATAACACTGATTATATCGTTACAAAGGCATCTCTCAATATATTAAGCAGCAAGTGAACAGTCAGTTCTTGAATTTCACATGTTGTAAACAGGAAAAATGGGCAAGTGAAAAGATCTGAATGACTTTGACAGAAGTCAAGTGATTGTTAGAAGACTGGGTCAGAGCATCTCCAAAACATCAAGTCTTGTGGGGTGTTTCCAGTATGCAGTGGTTAGTACCTACCAAAAGTGCTGCAAGGAAGGACAACCAGTGAACCAATGTCAAGAGATGGCAGCAGGATGCACTTTGGAAAGAAGATAGGCCGGCGGAGGCAGTGTAATGCTCTGGGCAATGTTCTTCTGGGAAACCTTGGTTCCTGGCATTCATGTGGATGTTACTAAGACACGTACCACCTACATAGAGAACTTTACTGACTCGCAGTAGGATTTTCAAATTGAATACAATATGATCTACTTTGATAGTGTACATAATGACAAAAGTGTGACATGTGAGAAGAGTAGGAGGCAAGGAGACGGCAGTATCATTCATCATAAACTGTATATATTTTTGAGATCTTAGATGAGATTATAGATGTATGTTTTGAGATTAGATTGATGTGTCGAGTGACAGTCAAGAGGACACCAACAGAATCAAACCTGTTGACAAGGCAGACAAAAATGTCTGCATACAGAAGTGTAAGTAGAATTATGAAATCCTGGAAATGGATCATGACAGGCACAGGGAGGTGAATAGGACTTGGCAACTTTTCCAATAACATTAAGCTCGATAACATAACTCACAAAATATCTTCTATTTCAATTTTTATGTTATGTATACAATATGGCTGCCTTTATTTAGAATTCTAAGGGCCACTTTGGATAAAATTCAAACTCTGGGGAAATTAATATTTGATAAGCTATTTCTATGGTAAGGTCAGGGAGTGAGCTTGTTTTTTTAGGTCATACAAGGTTATTCATTATACACAGAATATTGGAATCAGGTTAAAATGACTGAATTCCAACTGCGTGGCAATTAACAGATTTACTAAAGCTGAATCCGGTCATGATTTGGTCTGCCTGACTGATTCTGAAAATTGTATTTGGAAGTCTTTATAAAATCACTAATAGTGGTATCCATACCAATTTGCTGCACAGGAATCAGAGATTTACCAACGACCGCATGGCGGCCAATGATAAACCAAATGCATCCAGCAGGATTTATACGTTCACAAATTATCATTGACTTGTTTTTGCAAGTGAATTGATAATTGGAAGAACTATTTCAATTTGACAATTTTTATTGTTTTCAATTATTCACAAAGCAACAGGTATGTAAGGCATAACATTGTGTAAGTTATTCAGCATTATCTTCAACAATAGTGTGACGGGAGTCACCGTCACTGGGGATGGAAGGCAGACACTATGTATGGGTCCCCAGATTCCTCGGTGACTGGTACACTGGGTGTGAAGTGCAACAGGGTCCTTGATAGCTACTAGGAAGCAGACTTGGCAGAGGTTCCGGTCGGAGTACTGGAGCTCCGGCATAAATAACATGTGACAGTTAACATACATGGAGGTTACAGTGTGGTTCGAAGACACAAAGATTTTTATTATGGTGCATGTTATACAATGGTAGCAACATTCACTAGTATCAACATTCCCTTTACTCAATTCTCATCTTTAGGATGTTCTCTTATTAAGTAGTTCCCTTATTAAGGAGTGGTCTAGGGTGGAATATGGGGGTCTCTGATCGGTGGAACCACACAGTACATGTATTCCGATTCCCTAGTGTATCAATTTTTATGTGACTTGGGTTTAGCTTGTTGCTCTCAGCTATGTCTTGTGGAATAGGTGGTATCCTTTGTGGGTTTGGTTGGCCAAATGTTCGTCCATAGCGGTTTCGTAAAAAGGGGGGGTAACTATATACAGAAAGGGTGGGTAACAGTATGAAAAAAATATTTCTATTTCTAATGCTGGCTACTAGTTCTGACGGCAGGCAAATAGGTAAAAAATAAATCTTGTGGCGTGAGGCTTCATTATGTGGCTTGCTAGCCAGCATCCATATTTTAAAAAAACAATCCAATGTATGTCCATAAAACCCTCAGGGGAGGTATAAGGGAGGTTTTCTATCTCCTCATGCCTCTACCTGTCATCTGGCAGGTGGGGTTATGTCTACTAAAAGTTTAAAACTAGCGCTCTGAGGATAGTAGCAAGTGGGGGGGTTGACAGGGGCGTTACACCTGTTAAACTGTAATGCAGGTTTCCTAAGGCAAGCTCAGGGAGGACAGAAACCTCCTGCGGAGCAGAAGGGCAAAAGCTTGCTTAAACTTGATTTTCAGTTCAATACAGACAGTCAAAGCGGGGCCTCACAATCCTTCTGACTTTTTGGGTTTTAAGCAGGAACTGGCTTGTGGTGGCCAAGTGTTCATAGCAACGTCCATTTTTGATCCTTCAAAATTATCTCTTCCTGTCATTGTGCAGCAGAATTCACCAAATGCTGGATTGTTCACCCACTAATAGAGAATGTGAGCTGGATTTAGACCATTGTGAGACAGGTTAGAAAAGACCTCATTCCACGGAGAAGTCCCCACTAGTGGGCATCTGGTGGGGATACTTTATATATTAATGAGGGCTACCACCTTGGATGATGGGGGGGCCTTGATGTTAACAATATGGAGGGAGGTCTTTGCATCCCTGCATGTCCCCAACCATGGGCATTGGGCAAGGACTACTTTAAACTTAAATGGAAAGGACCTAGTGTTGTCCGAATTCCCACGTGTGGTGGATCGATGACCCAATATTAATTATCTCACTAGTGTGAGACTTTCTTTCGAGACTTGGCTGTTGGACATGTTGCAAAGCATGGGATAGCTGTCATAGTGTGGGAAAATGTGGGCTTCCAAACGAATGTTACAGAATCAGTAAGCCTGGATACGATCAAGATTCTGACAATATCTGGTGTTTAGTGATTAACCCTGTATATCTTATTGAATAAATCTTAAATTTTTTTATTTATTTTTTGTGAACAGAGGATTTGGCCAAAAAGGTGGTAAAACAAAGAAAAGATATATTATAATCACCATTATTCACTTGACTAATAGAAGAATGTGTTTATTTTATCCCATCTCCAGGAAGGACAAGGACAAACTGTATCAAATGTCAGAAGAATCTGTCTCTCCAGAACTCAGTGAAGGTTTTATATGTCTTCATTGTCATTCTTATCATAGCAGTTATAGTTCTTGCTTCATTAGGTAAGTCATATGTTTACATACATCTAAAATACACAATATTATTACTAAGTTTCAAGCCCTGCCTGACAGAACTAAGAATTAGAAATACAACACTGGATAACAATTGGTGGGAAGCTCACCAAACCATTCATGAAAGATCATCCATGCCACCATCTTCTTCTGCCTTGACTACTGCAATCCACTTCTCACTGGTCACATGCACTCCCAGCTCACCCCGCTACAATCTGTAATTAAGGTTCATCTTCCTGTTCTTCAGCTCCCTTGCCTCCCCCTTCTGTCAGTTCTTACATTAGTTACTCGTAAGATATAAGTCTTAATTTAAAATACGGGTCCTCGCTTACAAAACTTTTCATAACAATGCTCCTATCTACTTTTCCTCACTAACACTTTTTACTAATAAAGTAGGGTCCATCCAGGCCTCTATACTCTACTACAGACCTGCATCTATCCTCTGTTCATACTCGCACCTCTGGCTCTCACATTTAAGAATTCTCTAGGGCTGCACTGCTTCTTTGGAACTCCCTTTCACACTCCATTAGACTCTGATTCAGTCATCCAGTCTTGATTCCTAAAAAAAAATCCCAGAAAATTCACTTCTTCAAGAAGGCATAGAAATGAAACTGCTAACAGTTTCCTTCCCTGCACCTCATTAACCTATTTTATCTCCTGCAACTGTGTCATCTAATAAATAAAGCTTTCATTGTAAATGTGAAGAAACTACTCTTTGTGTTCAGTAATTTAGATTTTTCTTCTGGTAGATAAAACTACCGAACACCGACCACCCCCTGGCTCATTAACTACAAAGAAGGCCGCAGATTAAGTGATCTCTCTGTGTGGCTGCCGTTTGTATAGCCGAATGCCACGTGCGGGAGAAAACTGCGGCCATCTTGTCGCACGAAAAGGGGCAGCGGGACTTGGTTGTAGAGTATCTGGAACTAAAATCGGACACTCGACTTGCTGGTCAATTTCGCGAACGCCTGCTTCTTTTCACCGACCAGCCAGGAGAGCGCTATTTAGTAGGTTTGTTCCTACGAACTAGGGGAACAAATGCTACCTATGAGCCCGGGGAACGGTTCGTGGATTTGTTCGTTTTTTTTATTCTTCTCGAAAGAGACTAACCACAAAGCTAATTTCATTGAACTCTTTCTGGGCAGGAGCCTCGTGTGCGGTCGGTCAAATTAAGACTTCCATGGAACTCCAGAACCCCTGAACCGATCTGGGTGATTTTTGAATATGTTGATCCCCTAGATCAGGACTATCAGGGGATATGACTTTTGTGGGTTTCCATGGGTTTGGGGTACTTTTGAGGTTTTGTGGAAATATGTGTTTTTTGTTTGGAGATAGTTGAGTTTAGTATAGTGCTTGACTCAATTATCTCTCAGGCACAGGGGAAGGACTATATTATTTTATGTAGAAGTGTCCTGGACCTGAGAGCCAATGTAACTGCAGAAAGTATTTTGTCATTGTCCCCTCTCAAGTCCAGTGTGTAATGCCTCTGGAATATGTCACCATAAACCCTGTACATTTGTAACTGCATATAAACCGACCGGTTGGCCTGAATAAATGAATTCCTGTTTTACCCTTCATCTAGTGTAGGCTGATGTTTGGGTATCCGTCTGTTTTGCTTGGTGAATTTACTTGGATGTTGAGTTTCTTCAGGAGGACGTTCGAATTAACACCCAAACTGCGAGCTATAATCACTCAGCCTCTAGCAGTTCAGGAGGAAAAGTACGAACGGGTATCCGATACTGTTCCCATACGTGAAATACATGAAATACAAATAAAAATACATCTTACGCTTATCTCTCATGTAATATTACCTCACTCCTCTAAAAAAAGTAAGCTCATTTGAGCAGGCCCTCAGTTCCTGTACGTCCAACTTGTCTTGTTGCAAATACCTGTTTGTTAGTTCCCTATAGTACAGCGCTGCGGAATTTGTTGGCACGTTATAAATAATAATAATAGTACATTTGGTTCCAGTTGATATATGCTAATAATAATATGGATTTACTTCCAAGAGATAATTCATTCCTAGAATGAAAGCTTATTTTAGCCTCTTCACCTCTTGCATCTGTCAAACCTTTATTTTGTCTGTCACTTATCTGCTGCAATGTGTTATGTTTAATTGCAGAGTTTGACGGCGCTATTAAAATAGGGGTAATAGCAATAATATAGTAACAATAATATTAATTATAATGCTATATAGCCATCTGTATCTTCTCACAAATCATTTATCCGTCATAGTCAGTGATGTGACACAAAATGGAATGCAATCTTGTCGTAGGAGTTACACTCTAGGACATTTTGGCACCATAACCACTTAAATTCAATGGTGCCTGTAGTTCTTGTGTTCCATCCTTCTGTATTAAACCATATTTAATCAGTTTAACAGTAAATAGGGGTTGTCAGACGTCCATGCCTCTGCCCTCCTTTGGATGTAGAACTAATGCAGATGACATTCTACATAAGACAAGTCAATATCAATGTTGAGTGTTCAACATATGACTGCATGCCTCCCAACCATCTTGTTTTTTTGTCATGTTAGTGTTGAGAGTATGTGACTGTCACCCATCGCTGGTCTAACTAATGCAGAAACATTAACTGGAGCAGCAGAGAGGAGTCGCTATATGGGTAGCCAGCAATTTTCTTTCATTGTTAAATTATTTAAACATTTTTAACAATGAATAGTAGGATGGAGCCAAGATGAAGTGGTTATTATTATTATTATTATTATTATTTATATAGCGCCAACAAACTCCACAGCACTGTTCGTTGTGAGTCCTTTTAATAACATTGACCAGGAACCTTCACCAAAAGTGTTGGATCTGTTGACAGAGCAAAGCATTTGCTATCTTCTTTATACCTAAACCTCCCAATCTGCCTCTGACAGGTCAAACAGAATGAAGTTTATTTCACAGCTCAGGCTTTGCTTGGGCTGTTTTCATTCAAAAGCAGTGCAAGTGCCATCAACTCTAGCCTCTTGTCAAAGATCCATACATGACCCTACGGTCTACTAGAAATGGAGGAGGAACAACAGCTAAGAAATAAGTGTAACTTTTATTAACTGTCACAATAAAAACTAAAGCAACATTAAAGTACCCTTTCAGGATTATTCACTAAACTCTGAATCATAGAACCATACCGCACAACATGTCCCGTCTGTAAATCAGGGCTGGAGGCGCGGAGTGTGGATTAGGAATTTCCAGGGACGCTCACAATAGACATAGATGTCCGGGAGAGGGAGGTCTCATCAAAAAAAGGGTCAGGGTCCACCTACAAATCCAACCACAAATATCAAAATACCAAAAACAATAGGGTGAGCTTATTGGTGTATACCTCACAAGTGATCATAGGAACCGCACTCAATCCCAGCAGCCACCGGTGCTCCGGAACAGGACCAGCAATCCCAACACGTTAAGGCAGCAAAAAGATTCCCAGGCACTGAAACTGTGAAAGCCCAAGGCAGATTTATTGAAACAAAAAAGACAGCAACGTTTCGACCTACTGAGAGGTCTTTTTCAAGCTCTAATAAATCTGCCTGCGGCTTTCACACTTTGAGTGCCTGGGAATCTTTTTGCCACTGGTGTATATCACAAAGACATCCATCTGTTGGAGTTAATCTACATTTAGTTCCATTTCTGCACTACCCATTACCTGCACACACCCATTACCTGCACACACCCATTACCTGCACTACCCACCTGCACACACCCATTACCTGCGCTACCCATTACCTGCACACACCCATTACCTGCGCTACCCATTACCTGCACACACCCATTACCTGCACTACCCATTACCTGCACACACCCATTACCTGCGCTACCCATTACCTGCGCTACCCATTACCTGCACACACCCATTACCTGCGCTAACCATTACCTGCGCTACCCATTACCTGCACACACTCATTACCTGCACACACCCATTACCTGCGCTACCCATTACCTGCACACACTCATTACCTGCACACACCCATTACCTGCACACTCAGCTATACCTATAGCTCCTGTACATGCTTTTAGATTTTTTGCATTTTATACATATTATTCATTGCTTAAGTGCACATAATCGCGCAGACAGTATAATATTTTTTTCTCTTTTTCCTGTATTTATGAGTGCTTTATTCTGATGGAGATACATTATTTGACTCTGTGATAAGTAAACAGATTTCCTTTGCACCCTCATTATTGTTTTAAAAGAACACTATAGTGTCAGAAATAAAAACATGTAATCAGGGCCGGATTAACATAGGGGCTGATGGAGCAGCAGCTCCAGGTCCATGGCTGTGGAATAGCCCCGATGATTAAAAAAAACAA